AAATAAGAGAATATGTCAACAAGTTTTACCTGAACTGAAAAGTAGCACTGCTCTTAACAAAGCCAAGTTCTAAATCTCAGGAGATTTTGTACAACCACTGATCCGCCAGTTTTACACTAATCAGAACATTTCTTATTTATAGTCTCTTGATATCTGCGACAGAATTTTCTCTCCCTGTTTTAACTGAGTAGAAAATCTTTAATTCAAAGCCTCAGGAGATTCTTACGACAACCTTTGCTTCCTCAGTATCACCTAGACAGAGAATCTCTGTCTCGCGGAATGTTGTAATCAGGATCGTGTCTTTTAACAAGCTAATGGCGTTCAAAAGAGGCGCTTCTGGTAACGCTTCAAGGTTTAATTGGTTTTCCTGTCTTCGAATCGACGCAAGGCCATTTCAAAGATATGGAGGACAAAGGCGTTGCTAATATCATCTCACGGTCGTTTGTCTTGTCTTCAGTGGAGTGGAATAATGTTAATCAGATTTTATTCTGTGTCTGTACCTCCTTGACAGTGGAAGTAATACAGAATAAAAACTTAAGTTCAATACAATGAATGGGTGTGTTACCAAATTATTTGAAAAGACATCATACTGGGATTCGTCATTACACAAAGTTACGGATGATTTATTCACCTGACTGATCCGTTCTACGCTCTAGGCAGTTTTATATTAGAAGGTGCGGTATTTAGCAGAAAATAATTAAATTATTAGCAGATCGGAACATGTCGTGTTAATTGTTGTTTCAGTTTGTACTTTTCAATACTACTTCTCCCGATGGCAACAGATACAAAACTGAGAACGTGTCAACTGAAATAGAATCTACACGTACTTTAAAAATTAATGTCCTTTTCATTGCAGATATAAACCAAAAGCCGCGAACCCAATCGTTCTACACATATCCCGCACGACACAGTCAAATTTAGTTAATCTTTGTTAATTCACCAGACCAAAACTGCGTTGAATAAATTCTGTAGTATTTAATTAAATCCAGAGATCCAGGCATACATTTTGTATCATGTATCAATGTTTTCTATAATAAGTTTTTTTAAAAAAAACACGCTAAAAGTTATATGTGACGTTCATTTATAAAGTAGAGCTTTATAGTTGACATACAAATGAAGATTTGATTTTACTGTTAATTTTAATGAAAACGCGTAATATTAATTAACCGAAGTGTCTAGAATTTTCGCAGCTGAAACATGTGGACGGACGGACACAGTCTACTGATCTTCAGTTCGATACCTGCATTTAGTGCAAAGACCGCAAAATAAACAGGGCCCAAGGAACTTCCAAAACTTATCGAATCCGTTGAAAGAGTTAGGTCTGCCAGGCATGATACAGAATCTTACTTTGTACAATTTTCACAGACTCTTGTAATATAATGGCCTTAAATCCACTCTTAAACGTTATAAGATATCAAGCTTCCCTTTACATGTAAGAATCATACCCATTATTATTTCGTGTTTTACAAAAACTCTAAAAGGCACCTGTTCATAACAACGCAACGTAAAATTAAACTTCTTAGTAAACAGGTGCATACGTCAAGGTAACAAAAAATCGTGCAACGTTCCAACACGAACAGCGAAGCCCAGGCGAAATACAGCTCAGAACTCACCGCGTAGCAAAGCTGCGCTGGTGATTCAGAATCGAGCGAACGGGGCTTTGATGTAGGAAATTTAGCGACTACTACTATAAAATCAGACTAACAATGAAGGGAAAATACTATGTTTACAGTTAAACAATGTTGTTAATTACTTAATACGTTAATTCACTATTCCCGCAAACATTTAACCATTAACGTGAAAAGAAACATTAAATAAAAATTACACCCCACACGAACGCAGGATTCAAAATTTAATGCACACGAAACATTTAGTATCTTCCGATACATTTTAAACTTAAAAAATTATAGATATGTGTCAGTTAAAGGTTCAAAATCAGTGAAACCCCTCGACCTTCTTATACCGATTACAAAAATCCTTCAGAGAGATGTCAGGCTCATGGTCTTTTGGAGAAGAACTGTTCTGCATTTCTAAAGGCCGTTAAGAGTGCAGACAGCAATTACGTTTTATGATACTGATAGTGTAGCCATAACATATTAATATAAATATTATTTTCTGCTAATAAGTTTAGAAAATGGGTAAATATTTAGTTTATTTTCATGCCCCAGAGGGTATCAGCACCAATGGCTTAGATTAAAACTATCTCTGAGTTTAAGGTCATGTCCGAACTTTAATCACTGGACTCACTTATCGAAACCCGTAAGACAAGCCATCAATTATTCGCCGTAAAGTCATCCATTTATTAAATCGCAAAGAGATGATGAATGGGCGATTTATAGAGCAAAAAGGGCAATAGTTCTTTCTTTTGCCAAGCACAGCTTCAAAGAATTGTTTTGTTCGCTGAGAAGAGCATACTGCGAAGGAAGTACGAAATATAGCGCACTTAAAGGAACAATATACATTAAAGTATTACTGCAATAACCCTCAGGCACTGCTGTTACAACTGAGAACGACTGTCTCTTCCCAGAAATAACCCATTCAATTTCTACAAGTTTTACAACATTTCCTATCTCATAAACGCCACTGGTAGAGCCCATTATAATTTTATTCATCATTATTTGTCAGTTTTTGTCAAAATTAAATCTGAAAAGTGTCACGAAAGTCCCTAAATATATAGACAAACAGTCCTTCTTTAGACCGTAAATCAGATAGTCAAGAAACCCCCCCCCCTCCCCCCGCGTATTATGAAGCAAAGGTTCATCACCACGTTCCCAAAAATCCGTCATTGGTCCCTATCCTCAGTCAGAAGAAACCAGTTCACATCTTCGCATCATCTATAAGATCTACTTTAATATTATCCTCACATTTTCGCCCTTGTCTACCAAATGGTCTCCTCGCTTTAGATTTCCCGATTAAGGTTTTATATACAGGTTTGTATCTCATCGCCCAGCCAAATCATCATCTTAATTTTATCGCCATAATAATATGCGGTGAAGAGCCTCCTCATTATGTAGTTTTTCAACCCATCTGTTATTTCTAACCCTTAAGACCCAAATATTGTCCTCAGCATATGTTTTCAGAGACCTTAAAATTCTTCAAAGCGTTCAATCCTCCTTATTTCGATAATCTGTACAACACTTTTTAATAAACATGAACATTATTACTTTGGAATAACATCTCAATTTAAACAACTGTCAACAAGCTAATCGTAACAACTTGGATTGAAGAAAAAATAATTTAATCCGAAAGTCATACGAAGAAAATCCCAGTAACTTTATAGAAGCCCGTACATGAATCCAAATCTTCTTTAATGCAAGGATCGAAGCAAGGGTTAGGATGTGCAGGTACACTCTGCTAGCATCATGCTCATCCTCACCCCATCATCGGAAGTAAATGGAATCACGCCCTGTGGGTGTGTCCATCTCTAAAGTGAACTACTTCTCCAACGTCGAGGATAGAAAGGTCAAAAGACCAGAGCTGGTGACATTCGTGAGGAAATAGGCGGGGTTATATTAGGAAAAGCTGACATATTTCGGTAGGGGCTGTCGAATTCAGCCTACAAAACTCAAAGAGTATCTACCCAGCCAACACTAGTATTCAATCCACTGATATTTAATAATTTAATAAATAAGAATCCGCATTCCAATATTATTTTTTTGCAATACAAACTACGTTTAGAATGTATTCAACTCACGGACTGAACAGCAACGAGGGCCTCATATAACGTTCAAGAACGGCAGGATGTAAATATATTGCAAGTTTTTTTTTTAAAAAAAAATACATACTTACGATCTGCTCACCTGCAGTGATTTCTGCAACCAAATTCCAAATACGATGGAATCTTTTAACCGTGAATTATAAACAAGATGAAATGCCTCGGTATAATCCAACCGATGGTTAGGCAGAATTTTGACGTTTTCCGTTCGGGTGGGGAAAAAATAAACGAAACAGCTGAGAATCACGCCAAGTTCTTAGGATGATACCAATTTGACTGTTACACCATCTCCAATAGTTGAACATTTGTGTACTTTATAAACATAATTATTAACACTTCGCATAATTACTGTCATTATCATTACCATCATTATAAACACCACCACCACCAATATTATAATCACAATCATCGACTTCTTAGTTTGATATTTTACGTAATTAATATTTAATCTTTAATTTATGGGACACTAATCCAGAAAAATACATCTCGATGCTTCATTTATGATTAATATTAACATTAAAATTTTCATTCCAATATAGACACCGCTATTATTCGTATATCTACAAGGTAAAAACCTTCAGCGTTAGCAATGCACCGAGACATGGACATTCAGCTATGTGCTCCAACATTGAAAATGGTGTATACAGATCTTTGGGGATTATTGGCAAAACAATTACCATTTGTTTTAGTTCAAAGTTGAATTAATTTGTTTTTGAATTTACATATTTACGTTTGCCTGTCATAGATTCTTTGCCACTGGCAAACTCTCCAAAAAAAAATTACCCAATAAAATCACCATTAAAGTTAGTACTAACTCCGCGTGTCCCACCCAAAGCAATTTGGCTATCTAGTTATATATGACACAACACTAACTTTTAAATTCACCAGATATAGAAGAACTTCACAAATTTGTCCAAAAACTAATAATTACGTAATTATATCTTCGCAGTAGTAATTGATGAAGATTCTTGTTAATATGGCAATAAATACGTAATCATATCATTATAATTACCATTAATTTCTAACGAAACACTCCTGCGCGATATTTCTCTCTTATGGTGCCATTATAAAAATAAATTAACTTTAATCAAGTCCGAATTTACATGTATCACTATAGGAATCAGCCAGTCAAAGGCAATAGGAAACACTTGTTACTGCATACAATAAGCAAGACAGTTGTTAAAATTAAAATTACAAATGAATTTAACAATTTAATTCAATAACTTTAGTGAGATGCCTGGGGCTGGCTTTTCATCTCAATTAATGGCATAAAATGTTCGCGTACCTCGTGGGAAGACTTCATGTAACCCCGGCTGAAGATCACCGACGGAGACAGCATTACTCCATATAAATGCAGGGCAGACAACAGCTGAAAGATTACAATTCTACTCAATGGAAATCGGTCAAGATAAACTTCATTAAAATGTGACCCTAAGGCCACTATTAATAAATTATATTTATTATACGCTGGCAAATGTCATTTTCCTAAAACAGATCCCATAATCACAGTTTTACACTACAGAGATCTATGTTTCTCCTAAGTACTAGAAGAAACTATTGGATTTATGTAAATGAGATGACACTCCTTGTTCTCTGCTTTGTTGAAGCCACACACTTTAACCAAATCAATTCACACAACAAAAATTCAAAATACTTAGTTTTATCCAGTCTGTGAGAGAGTAAATGAGTGGATGAGTCGGTGTAATCATAACAGACCGCGTGCATAAGGTTCATACACAGAGCCGGCCCACCGATTAAAACTAAGTCTTAGTTATTTTGGCGTTAAAATTATTTTACAAGACATAAGTCGTTTTAGCAGCTCATAAAACACGTGTGCAATAATAACTTGATAATAACATGAATTATTGTAATGAATGTAACTGGAAAGCCATACGTAGAACATTCGAGGAACCTTAGGAAATACCACACACGTTTTAAAATTGAGCTCTTCCCGAATGTGAGGATCAGAACAGATGTTTAGATGTACAGGCACGACAGGCCTGCCCTATACAAATAAAGCTTACAAAATTATCCATTATATATTCAACCCTGAAGATGGCAACTCCTCGCAATCACAACATGTAGGCCTGCATATGGTTTGTGGCAATGTTCTGGTGTTGTCACTTCGAATACGCCTAACGTCTCGATAAAAAGACACTCCGAGGCCAATTGATAATGAAGAGATTTGTCTAACGGGCTCCATAGGATGGGTAGAGGTCGCGCGAGTAGTGGTGACACCTAAATGCGCGATGTGTAAGCCGAGAGCGGGGAGTTCAGTAGTAGTAGTGGGGGTCGCACAGACGCAGCTGCGGTGCCACACCGATCTAAACACAGCTAGAGCTACAAACCAACTGAAGCTGACACCCCTCTAGCGCGTGCTTCGGACGGGTCCATCTCATACGACCAAAATCAGTCCTTTGCGCAAGTGCCAGCACTTCTCGCGCGACCTATATGTCTACAGCTGTCCTCCAAGTGATCTCTTCCCTTCAGGTTATCTTAATGAATTCTTTTATGCATTTCTTGTGTCAACCATACACGTTCTACCTGCAAATCGCATTGTCGAAGAGCAGTGTTCCACAACATATTTTCACCCGCGGTACACCCTAATTTGCTCATTAATTAGAAACCATTACTAAAATTACCAAACAGCGCACTATTTTTTTGTATCTGGGGTTTCGAAAGGCCTTCAAAAATTTTTGCCCCAGTAATGTCTTCGCTCTTAAAATCTTAAACGTCGCAAACTTAACACATTCTACGATCACATAAAATAGGAAGGAATGACAATTGTGTGTACGACTGGTAAGCATTCTGCTACAACCTGAAAGGCGTAGCATATGAGTGCAAGATTAAAGGGCATAGTTTTCGTAAGATGTTACAATATCACAGTCCACTAAACTTGTTCCATCATCTGATTACGAAATTACGAGAATCAAAAAGCTGAACATAAATTCTCGATACACTCTTTTAGGAGCAGGGCAGTCTGTTCCAACTCAGTTCGGACCAAAAACGTTTAGAAGTAAAGTCATGCGTGATAATGACAAAGTTATTCTACTCTGTAGCGCCATTAAAACATCCAACAGTCGATAATTGTATAAACCCAGGATCAAAAGCAATACTTTAAAATAGCGTTCAATGAGGAAGTTCAGATGAGCAGAATGGTGCACCAATGAGGAATTACGACAGGCAGGGTCATATGTAGGTCACTGATATAAGTAGGCGTTTTTAAGGTAAGAGAAACGTTTACATTGCACCATTAATTTCAATAGCATGAATTTGTTTCACCATATTTCAAATAGAGACGACATGGGGGATGGGTTGAAGCAACTTGCGGCACAGGTCACGAGGTCGTTGAAGTTATTTTTAGAATCACGTGATGTAGGGGTGAGAGAGATAGAGCTGGAGAAGAGCCTGGAACGTCTGGTTCGAGGGAGGCTGGCTGGAGCAGACCGAGCTAGTGGTGGCTGGATCAGAGTAGCTGGAATGGGTTCCTGGACCATGTGGGGGGGAGGGGCGGAAAGCTAACGGGCAAATAGTATGAAGAAGCGGCCATCAATTCTTAATATTCGAGAAACCAGCCAAGCGCGAAACTGAAAATACGGGATTTTCTTAACAGAATAAATAAATACGAGTAAATAATTGTATTTTATTTTACCATCAGGGTTATATGTCATTTACTGATGAAAGACATTTAACGTCATCAGTAATTACTTTAACATTCTATCGTTGCTTCTCTGTGGCAGTTCCGGCAAATTCAGTTGGATCGTAAGCGGTCTCTTAGAATCGATTTTAAAAAAGCTCAAGATGAGTAGGTCCGTGGATGTTACGGAGCACAAATCTGGCTACTTCACTTTCCTGCCACAAGTGGGATAAAAAGAATCTGAACATTTTATGTTTCGAATTACACTTTATCAGATAATATAAGAGAAATTTACAAAAGTTTCGTCCGAATATCACACATTTTCTTACCTGATCTCAACTTCACTCAAACATCAAGCGATTCTACAAACAATTATTTACCAATATTAGACTAAAATTTCAAAAACAAATACCCATACGGCATTTAAAAAAAAAACACTTCATGCAGAGATGAGCGGGCCACGAAAAATTAATAAATAAATACTATCATAAAGTGTTTACAGTAAAACAAAGGACACCGTTCCCGCGAATCATCACGAGAACCACAGGCTACATATACCCATCCAACGTAAAAAGCTACGAGTTATTTAATAATAATAATAATTGTATTAATAATAAAGTCCTCTCGGGCCACCAGCAGTCACAAGTGTTTAAATGGCGAAAAAACCAACGTTTCGTCCTCAGGGAAGAGGACAGAGACGAGGAAGAGATGGTTCTCGAAACGTTGATCTTTCCTTCATTAAGCCATCTTACACGTCTGGTAGCACGAGAGAACTTTATTATATCAAGTTACCCTGAAAACTCCACATCATACATATAATCATTTTGTTTCAAGGGATTTTTTTAATCTAGCTTTTAAACTTAATTCGCATAATATTAATTCCCTGTATATAAATAATTTTCGGTTTTTTTACTTATAAGTAAAATTCTTGTTACTGAGCAATTCGCAGTGCCTCAAGTCGAATTAACAGTATAAAGAACAAATATTCTTATCTATGTTGGGTACGAACATGCAGGAGATTTGGTACTCACTTATTCAAGCCATATTTTAAATCTAAAAACGTTGTCAATAGCTCAAATTATGCATAATGAACTGTAAAGGATATATAAGATGCAATGGCTTAATTTAAGGCAGAGTGGACTAAATGGTCATATCTAGTCCAAGACCACTTGTAACCAGGCTTGTGAAATTCTTTGTTAATTTGTTACCGATTGCTGCAAGTTCGTTTATTTTATTTACTCCAAAGAATCTGAAAATAGGTGATTCTTACATGGTCTGCTGCCTTACATATATGATCCACACATGCTACTGACTTAAAATGTTACGTTTTCCAAGTAAAATTTGTCAGATACACGCTTTTGCGGGGGCAAATTTAAAATAGTATGTAACTCTACAGTCGTGTTTATAAACGAAGTAATTCATGTTTCCCCAACTTTTGTTTTCAACTTTATTAAGCAGTGTTGTTAATTTCGGGGGCACCTAGCTATTCGAGAGCAGTCTCCTTCTTGCAACCAAGGAAACAAGCCTTTATTCATGTACTTTGACTCGCTGGCAGCGGTTCTGCGTCGAATGAGAAATGACGAGGTGATGATGAATGAGTTGAGAAGGGTGTGGAAGGGAAATGAATAGAGTAAATTAGAGCACTAAAACATCAGGGTAGCCCGTACTCTGGCAGCGACTGATATGAAGCAGGAACTCTCACGGATACGCTGCCATATTTTTGTGATTTCTTTACTGAAAATGTTTAGTTTCCGTTAAACAACAGAAGAATTTTTTCCCTTCAGGTTTCGCGGCTGGTGTTCTATGTACAATTCAAGTTTCATGAACGAGCCCTATGTAATTCATTGCAGTTGTCACGTTCACACTTAAGATGACAACCGAAATGTTTGCCGAAACGTTGGAAAACTTTCAACGTTATAGGCAAAAGTCAAATTACAACAAATAAAAGAGTCATTTTAATAACCATCATAATTTCTTTCCTCCAGTGCGAAACGCCTGCTAAGGTTTTATAAACATGTTTCTGCTTTAAAAGAAACTTCTGTATTCTGCTGAAACCACAGAAAAGTTAACAAGACATTGTGTTACAATATAAACGTAGAAGAAGCAACTTGTATTTGTACAAAATCCTTTAGACTCCCATTTATTTTATATATATAAATCCGTATTTTTAGAGACAAAAGCAAGAATAAATTAATGTCGGTAAGTTCACCAGGTAACAGCGCCATGACAAACAACTGATTACAAGTGACCCGCACATTTCAGTGAAGAGCTGCCATTATCGACATCCAGCACGTGTCGAAACAGTAAAAATGAAACAAAGCGACACATCATTCACACAGTAATGAATGAAAATAATCTGTGAACTCCATTTAGCTTTCCCTATACCCGACTTTCAAATACCTCACTGTCGTGATAACAAAGGCCATCATACCCACGCCAGTTAGAAATCTACTGATCGATATATATCGAGAACTAAAGAGAGAGACAGAGACGAAGAGATTATTAAAAAAAAATTTCCCCCCAGTTGGTCTCGATTCTTCAGTCCTATGGTTCAGAGGTTCTGCTGAGTTCAAACTATAAGTATCTGTATCTAATTTCAAAGCGTCGATACTCTTGAAATTCCAATTTCATCAAAAGAACCTGGCTTCTTCCATAGCTGTGCTCACTTCAGTCATTCTGTTGGTATTTGGGTAGACAGCTTGACCTGAGAAACTCGAAGCGACATAAATATG